TATAGCGGCTGTCCGTGGCAGCAGGAAAGATCTCCAGCTCCAGTGTGAGGTTCCTGCAGAGGCAAGAGCCCAGTGAATGGGGAGGGGGGTGGGGGAGGGCATGGGGAGAAGTGAAGGGGTAGAGGGAGGCGGAGGGGAGGGAAGGGAAGAGGACAGGAAGGACAAGGCTGTGGGAGGAGGTTGGTGTGCTCACATGTCCTTGCAGCTCCCGCTGAAAGCTGCCCACCATGGGTCTGCATCATCAGTAGAGGTTATTCGGGGGTCTGTCCATTTCTAGGGGAGGAGAAGGATGGCAGGATCAGGACAGGTCAGGGCATCTAAGGCTATTTCTTAAGAAGACATCCAGGTGGCCAGTGCAGCCACAGGTCCTCAAAGGCCCTAGGTCTGGGACCTTCCCTGCTCACACTCCTACTTGCCTCCTGTTCCTTCCTCACAATTCCCCCCAGTCCCTTTCAGACTGATTAAATATGTAGATGAAATGGTCTCAAGTGCAAAGGGTCTGGACCACATGTGTGCATACGTGTATCAAAATGACATGTAAATACTGATTTATACCTATCCCCTTCATTCCCTGAGGACCATGAGTAAGAACTGAACCTAGTAAGAACTGAACTACATAGTGAGTTTCTGTCTTTAAAAAAAAAGGGCCTAGGGCCGGGGATTCAGTTCAGTGATTCCACGGCCTCCCTTGTAAGCGCAAGGTCCCGAGTTCAATCCCCGGTACCAAAAACAAAACAAAACAAAACAAAAAAAGGCCCAGTATTATTCTCTGCTTCATCCCCTAGTGCCCGTGCCTCTGCAGCTAAAGCCTGTTGGCTAGAACAATGCCCGGATGCAGTGTAGCATACACCACTACACTGTCTCACACCTAGGGGAGCCCCACACTCCCTCATCGCATGTCTAAGTCGATACCTGAGCAAACTCGAAGGTGACCCCCTCACCAGCTTCCTGGCACCATCTTTGCAGTTGCTTCTCAAAAGCCTAAGAGAAGGGAGATGAGCTGACCCCTTGGGCTTTCCCTGAGCCTCAGGGGCAGAAATGAGGACCCAGGCTCCTTCCCTCAAGCCCAAGTGTAGGGGGTACCTCCAGGTCCACATCTGGTGCGATTCGAAAGTCAAAGACAGCACTCATAGTGGCTGGTACCACATTCAATGCCACCCCACCCTCTATCTTCGTCAGGTTCACACAGGTCACGGCCCCGTCCTTCAGGTGAGGGTCTGATTGCAGCCTGCAGTCGGGTGGGGAGAACAATAATGAGAAGGTGGCTCAGCTTCCCTGCTGTCCCGCACAGCCTCCCAGAGCCACCCCATTGTGTCCCCTGCTTAGCCTGCCTCACCTCTGCTTCTCCTTCTCCCGGAATGCCAGGACAGAGCTCATGACCTTGTGCTAAAAGGTGAGGTGACATATGAGAGTGGTCCCAGGACACAGCCTCCCACACACACCTCCCTGTGGGCCACAGACCAGCTTCTCTGCTGCCGTGTCCTCAATGAAGCGTGAGCCATGGCCTGGCCTCCCAGTGCTGATGAACCGCACCCCTGGAAGATGGAGAGGGAAGACAGTGTTTTTAGCAAGAGAGGGCTTGAGGATTCCATCAGCCCTAGGTTTTTCTGATTCTAAGTTCCTCAGTCAGGGTTCTGTCCCCCTGGTGACAGCGATGTAGACCTGATTCTGACTCACAGAGCTTGCCCTCAGAGAAGCTCAGGAAGGGAGAGCTGGAGCAGGAAGGGGCTAGGAGGCAGAGGCCCTGAGTTCAGGGCCAACTCAGGCCTCACACTGCTGTGTGGCCCTTTGTAGGCCCCTGGCTTTCTGACCCAGTCTCCCCACTATAGTGAGCCCCTCCCACTAAGCCCATACTCACACCAGACAGCCCGCTCACTATAAAAGACAGTGAAGGCATCCATGGGGTTGGCCAGGCCTGGGGGACGAAAGAAGGTTCAGAGGGAAAAGTGAGCCAGCTCCCACTTCCCCCAGCCTGGCTTCTTGGTGGCCTGTCAGCCTGCTCACCTTCATCCAGGGCAAAGCCTACTCTCAGGGACTGGAACTCAGGCCGCTGTATGAATGCCTGCATGCCTTTAGAACCTCCAACTTCCTCATCTGTAAAAGTAGCAGAGACTTGAGATGAGGGGACCCACCTCACAGCCTCCTCCTCCCCAATGTACCTCTCCCTGAGCCACTCCTACCAGGCACAAAAGTAATATGGATGGTTCTAGGAAAACGGTGGCCCTCATCCTTCAGCCTCTTCACAGCCTCCAAATACCTGAGGGGCATAAGCCAAGCGCTGAAGAAGCCACCAGACACTCAGGCTGGCTCAGCAGGCAGGGCCAGACAGGGCTGGCAAGATGCAGTCCTATGTCCTGGACCCTACCCTGCCATGGCCTGGCAGGGACTCTAGAAAGTCTTTGCCCCTCTCTAGGCCTCAATGGTTCCATCCACGAATGGTCATGGTGTTAACTGCTGCCCAAAGTAAGGGGTCAAGATGTCCCTTTGGTCTTGACTTTGTCTACATGCCTGGGTCATGGGTTAGTCCATTGTATCAGGGGGGACACTGTAGGGGCCTGGGAATGGAGAACACTCACTGGATGCCGACACTCTTCATGTCTTGAGTGCCCCTGGCGTAGATGTAGCCCTCAGGATCCTTGAAGGCCTCAAAAGGGTCATGACTCCAATGTTCCTAGGGACAGGAATGGGAAGAAGAGCCCAATATAGAGTTGGGGTGACAGGTGGGGTATTAGAGGGACAGAAAGGGGCTGAAGAAGGCATCTGATTGCTACCCCCCATTTGTCTCCTGCCTCCATCCTCGCACAGAATCATTTGTTGGACAGAGGCTGCTTGAGCGGAGTAATGCAGTATGGATATCATGAATTAGTTAGGACCGGTGCCATGGGTCTCCTCAGGTCAGATCCTGAAGTCTACACCTGTGTCTGGGGCGTGCACACCTGGCTCCATATGTACCTTGAAGACAGGCACCACATCCATGTGGGAGTTGAGTAAGATGGAGGAGAATGTAGGATTGGTGCCTGGCCAAGTCAGCACAACAACCACATAGCCAGGTGCCACCTGGAGAGGGTCAGAAGGGGAGGTGGTGAGTGTAGGGGTAAGGTACCCCAGGCCCACTGTCCCTCCTACTTGCACCCCAGACTCACCTCCACTTTCTGACAGTTCAGGCCCAGCTGGTGGCCCCTCTCCTCAAGGAAGGCCACAGCAGCTCCTGGGGGGACAGAGAGTCTTGGGCTGCTTTTGCCTACCCATGGCTCTTCACCACCCTAGGTGGAGATGGGCTGCTGCCTCCCCTACACAGTTCCACATTTCTCAAACATTTGCTTTTCACCTATCTGTGATCCTTTGGGAAGGCCAGAGAAAAGTCCAAGGTGTAATTCTTATCTTCCTTAAAGATAGGAAAATTATGGCCCAGAAATCTGAAGAGATTCACTGAGCTGCTCTCAGCTGGAAATCATGCAGGGGCTTGGACCCACTCAGAAAATTCCCAGCCACCAAGCTTGATTCCCTAGGTTGATGGACTTTGTCCAGCCCCAGCAGGCTCCTGGGGGCCTCTCCTTGTGGCTGCCTGTCTCCCACCCCTGCCCTGGGGATTCTGGAGAATAAGGGGAAGTTGTTTCGTTTTTCTATTTCTTTTCTCTCTCTCTCTCTCTCTCTCTCTCTCTCTCTCTCTCTCTCTCTCTGTTTCTGGTACTGGAGATTGAACGCTTTGCATTGAGCAACATCCCATCCCTTTTTAATTTTTATTAATTTAAAAAATTTTTATTTTAAAGTCAAGTATTTAGCTCAGTGGTTCTGCCGCCTGCTTCGAAAGCGCAAGGTCTCAAGTTTGATCCCTGGTACCAATAAATAAATAAATAAATAACATTTTTATTTTTAGGGCTGGTAATTTAGCTTAGTGGCATCGCATTTGCCTTGCAAGTGCAAGATCCTGAGTTTGATCCCAGGGTGTTTTTTTTTTTTTTTTTAAGAGTGCTGGGATCAAGCTTCCCCCCACCCCAAACCGCCGGAACCGCGGGGTCTCACCGTAGTCGGGCTCAGGTTGAACTGTACGGATGCGCAGGTACCGTCGGAAAAGCGTCACGGACGGGTGCTCGCACTCAGGACTCTTGCTAGCCATGGCTGCGTGATGTGCTGGGGGTGAAGACAACGCAGCTGGGACCCAGCAGACACCACCTGCACCTAGGCCCTCCCAACGGCGGTTCCCCGAAGCCCCATAGGGAGAGGTTCTCCTTGCTTTGGAGCCCCCATTCTGTGTCAGGCTCTGTGCGGGCCGCTTTCAACAGTTCCTTATTTAGTCCCTCTAAGTGCTCCCGAAGTTTGTGCCTCCCAATGTTCACTTTTCAGAGGAAAAAGCTGACGCTCTAAGGTACGGTGACAGCTAGAAAGTGGCCGGCTCGGGTTTGAATCTCGACTTTGATCCCCGACATTTCTCCCAACTGCCTGGCTTTCGTGTCGGGGAGCCCCAGCTTCAAGCTGCCCTTCCCCGAAGTCCCACTCTGCACCTGGCCTTTGGCCCGCTCTTGCCTCTCAGCACTAGTCCCGGACTTGTGGCCAGGAGCCCGGGCTCAGGGAGCTCACAAGCCTATAACTGCCCTGGCCCGCACACCACGAGGTTGGAGCGGAGTTGCCGGGCGGGAACTGGAGACGGCGAGCCTGGGTGGTCTGGGTCTACTGCTGCCGCGGCGGAAAGGACGTCTCCAGCCCGCCCCTGCCTGATACGGGCCCCGCCCTCGGGCAGCCCCATCCAGTCCCGCCCCTAAGTGGGCCCCGCCCCCAGCCAGGCAGGTCCTGGGTCGGAAAACACTGCCTCCTCGCACCTCTGGAAGGGGCTGGCCCTGACGCTAAAGGTCGCAGCTGCTGTGTTGGGCAAACCTAGCTCTGAGTGCTTCCCTGCTCCCGTCCTCTTTTCATGTATCTACCCTCTGGGTTGCCAATTCTGCCAACCTCGCACGGTGAGCTCAGGAGGCTGGTCCTTGTACTCTCGGGGTTCTGACTCTGGCCAGGAGCTGAATGGGTGTTCTGCTCGGACAATGTGCAGGAAGGGAGGATAAATGTACGGATGGGAGCACGTGTGGCTGTGAACGTGACACTGTGCGGGCAAATCTGTAACAGTGGGAATCTCTAACAGTGGGCATGACTGTATGTGTGACAGCGAGTATGAGATGGTAGGTGTGACAGATGTCACGGTGAGAGGGTGTAGTCCTAAGGCTCTATGACAGTGTAAGGGGTGGGGAGCACCACCCTTGGCCAACTGTGCTAAACCCTCTGATTCCTCTGTATCCAGGAAGGGCTGGGTAGAGGCATAAATGTTCCCCTGGCCATGCTCAGGTTGTGCTCAACTGGGGTGGCCCATTTGGGTGCCTGGCTGCTTTGTGTACTCCCAGCTACTTCTGCTCTTTGCTCCAGGGGCACAGCTCTCTGGGGGAAGGGTCAGCCAAAGATTTCAACCTCTGGGCCCAGGAGACAGGCTGGGGGGTAAGTGAAGGATCCATCCCACCCCTCCTGGGGTCCAAGTCTCTGGCTGCTCACCCACGCATAGCAAGGAAGTGAAGAGACTTGACAGTTCAACAACAGTGCTGCTTTCTTAAACCTCATTTCCCACCCCCACCTCTGATGGGCACTCCCAACTCACTCAGCTCAGTTGCCCAGACCCTGTTTTTCCCACCAATCCCAATGATCAGGTGGTAGCAGTAACACCCACCTCAAATGCTCCAGGCCTTTGTGACCAAGTGCCCCACTTACCCAGAAGTATTCAATCCTACAACCATCATCCACAACAAATTGTTACCATCATGCCCATTTTATGGAGGAAAAAACTGAGGCACAGAGAAGTGAGGCAGATGATAAGAAAGTAGTGCACTCTTAAGACTTCCAACTCCAGCCCCAAAGCAGCCCAAAGCCTCCTATTCCCACCTCTCCCAAAGCACACCAGCACATAGAACCTGTCACTCGCTCACAAGACATATATGCTTTTCTTTATTGTGCTTGTGAAATGAAATGAGAAGTCCTGGCTGGGCCTGCCCCTCTCTGCCCTCCAATCCCAGGCACTGCCTCCCTGGAAGGGCAGAATGGTGGTCCAGACCTTTGACACTCAGGCCAGGCCTGGAGCCTGGGAACCTGGTCAAGGGAAATGGTCAAGGAAGGCAAGAAGGACGAGGTGGAAGTCCTGTGGCTTGTGGAGGTAGCAGGCATGGCCCGCGTTGGGTAGCTTTACCACAGAATGGTTGGGCAGGTGGCGGAGCTGCTGCAGTGACTCTTGGGCCAGGGTGTGATCCAGTTCCCCATACACGATTAGGGTTGGCGTCTGCAGAGCAAGGTAGGAGGCCATGATCCTACAGCCTGGTGAGGATCTAACCCTCAAAGTTACCCTTAGGAAGCTTTCCCCAAATACCCCACCTCTTCCATCCAAGATCAGCAGCCATGAGCCTCCAAGTAAGACTTGAAAGCTTGACCCCCACCTTCCAAAAGGACAGAAGCCAGGGACAGGGTGCTAGGACTTTTGAAGAGTCTTCTGGTACCTTCACAGCCCAGAACTGCTTCTGGGTGTAGTTCTTGGTGGAGGTGGGTGCGATGGGCACGAATCCACGTAGCTGGTGGTGGCCTCGAATCAGGAAGGGCAGGGCATAGCAGCCGCTGAGTGAGGGGCTCACCAGTATGACATTCTTCACCTCCAGGTCCTGTAGTACCCGCTGCAGCAGCTCTGCCCGCCCTGCCTCTGTGCTTGCCTCCTTCGAAGGTGCTGAATTCCCAAATCCTGGGAACAGCAGCAGGGGCTAAGGTTTGCTGGTAAGTACCTGAGTTAGTGCCAACCACAGTGGGGAAGAGTGATGGGGACCAGCGGTACATAGCACACACTACCCCAAACTTTCCAGAAGTAATTATGTTTGGAATAAGCCTGCTACAATTAAAAAGAAAAAAACAACTTCATTCATCATATTGGCAAAAATAAAAAATAAAACAAAACAAAACATTAGTAGTAGTGTTGCGGAAGCCGTCAGGAAACGGGCACTTTGATATATGACTGATGGAAAGATAAATCCATAGAGTGTTTTTGAAAGTTTAGGTATCTGTCAAAGCAAAAACAACAAAAAATGTGTAACCATTGACCCATCAGTGGTCTTTGATTGCTTCCGTAGAGAGGGTACTGCCCGCATGCTCAAAGAAGCATTCCAAGGATATTTCAGCTATGTTGCTTAAATTACATTTTAACTGACACTGAAACCCTAAATCCTCCAAGTCAGGATGACTGGACAGGATGTCCTGTCTATCCCTCTCATGGCCTGTAGAGCTAACAGCAGAGAGGGAGGTCTGCAGGGACTACAGTGATTCACAAATCATGATGTATGGGGGGAAAACCAAGTTGAAGACAGTTTTGTTCAGGAGACAAGACGCACATCATGTTTACAACCCTGCTACACAATCCTGCACGTTGCGTTTGTACATAGAGAAATGCCCAGCAGAGGGTCTGGTAACCTCAACTACTTAAGGAGGCAGAGAAGTGTGCACAGTGGTAGAGCATGTGCTTAGCATGCATGAGGTCCTGGGTTGATGCTCCAATACCAAAAAATAAATTTTTAAAAAGAAAGAAAAGCTGAAACCAAAGGACAAATCATCTGTGTAGTTAAAAACAAAACCAAAAAGCTATGTAGTTTGTCAGGAAAAAAAAAAGTGAAATTCCTCATATGATTGCTTACGGAGTGAGTCACATTTCTTGTTGCTGGGTGACACATTAATTCACACTGTCATTTTCAAGGTAGAAAATAAAAATCATATCTTTCCATGGTGCTTTCTGATGTTGTGACCTGCCACTGCTTGTCCAGACATGGAGGTCCAGATGTCCCAGGCCACCTTAGGGCTTCTCTGTCTCTCCAGCTTCCCCTCTGGAAAGGTAATGTAATGGCTGCATCCTGCCTCCCTAGACCTGGGGAGGGGGTGCTCACCTGGAAGGTCAAGGGCCACAGCCCGGTAGCCCCTGCGAGACAGCAGCTGCAGTGTGCCCAACTGCTCCCAGGTGTGGGAGTTAAAGGCCTTTCCATGGAGCAACAGGACCTCCACCCTGTGGGCATACAGGGAAATGTAGGGCCAGGGCACTTCCTTCTTCCTGGACATCTCCCACTGTCCTCCCAGGCTCTGAGCACCCTGAATCAGGCTGGGGTGCCTCTGCTAGACCTTTACCATCAGCACCCACCTGCGTGCCTGGTGGAGTGGGAGCACCTCGCGGTAAAAGATGGGGGAGCTGCCACGGGTGAGGCCAGCCAGGACTGTGACATTGGGGTCTCCCGAGAGCCAGGAAGTCTGCTCAGGGGGGCCTGGCAGTCCCACATACAGTAGCAACATGAACAGTAGACCTAGGCCCAGCAGGGCTGCCTGATGATACCTGCTCATGGAGGTCTGTACCACAGCCTAGAGAAGAGGAGAGGGAAGAGGCCAGATTGAACCCTCAGTCTTCTAGACTCTATCCCTAAACCCCATCATTTTTTTAGTTTGTTTGTTTTTTGAGACAGAGTCTCATTATGTAGACTGACCTGGAACTCACTATGTAGCAGTGATCCTCCTGCCTCAGCCTCCCGAGTACTGGGATTACAGGCATGCATGCACCACCACACCCGGAAATCACTATCCTTACCAGTTTTTATTTATTTTTGGGTTTTTTGTTTTTTTTGAGACAGGGTCTCACTATGTAGTTGAGACCAACTTGGGACTCACTATGTAGCCCAGGCTGGTCTTGAACTCACAGAGATCCTCCTGCCTCAGCCTCCCGAGTGCTTGGATTACAGGCATGCACACCACCATGTCTGGCTTTAAACCCCATCTTGATATCCTCTGCAAAGGAAGAGCTCCAGCCCTTGTCCCTTCTCCTTGCTCTGGACAAAGGTCTAGGGATTCATACCCAACTACTCCCAAGTGCTAGGCAAATAGCTAGCCCATGACATGAGATGTCCCTTGGGCACACAGCTTTCTCAGTGACAACCATTATTACTGTCCTGGCTAAATCCACTTCTGTTCATCAAGACTTTAGGACAGCACACCATGTATTCAACTTACAGTACACTGCGAAGCAGGTATGATTTTAGATTCCTACAAGGTGAATTTTCTTGCCTAAGTAGCAAGAGATCTAGTATTTGAACCAGGGGCTGGGCTCCTAAACATCTGATTTGGAAAAAGGGAAACGTGGAAATGAGTGGAAGTGATGGATGAACTGGAGCCTTGCTGGTGGACAGAGTGGAGAGGACTGCCACAGGAGAAAGACAGTGCAAGCAAAGGGGTTTCCCACTGAGGGTATGTCTGGGAAGTGTTCTTTCTCGCACACTGTATATAATTTACAGTAGATGGGAATACTCAATGGTCCACGCCAACTGTTGTTAGGTATCTCACAGAGAGTGTCGGTGATGGAGGAAATGCTGAGGCCCGAGCTGATGTGGGGGGCCAGGGAGGAGCACGGTTCACCTAGAAATGAAAAGGGCAACGTGGAAGCTGGCAAGACAAATTCTTTCTGCCCCCCCTGCCAGCTTTGTCTCAAATGACCTGCTTCAAGGAATCTTCCAGTCAAGGACCTTTGCCTACCTAGAGGAAAGGACGCAAATAGCCGCCTGCTTTGAAACTGGACTCTGTCACTTCCTGACTGTGCTGTTTTCAGTTTGTCAGTAAAATGGGATAACCTCATGGCTGTTCAAGTCTTTTTTTTTTTAAGACAGGGTCTCACTAGGTAGTTCATACTGGCCTTGAACTCACTATGTAGCCCACACTGACCTCAAACTTCCAGGGATCCTCCCGCCTCAGCCACCCAGGTGCTGGGATTATAGACACGCATCACTACATCTGGCTCTCCCAAGTCTTCCCAAGGACAGTAGATCTGGGGATGGGCGTGTCTCTGTCATCATTTCTTGGGCCTAGGGTGAGTGTGTCTGCTCTGTCCTGGGATTCTGGTACATACAAATTTATTGATTACCAACTGGGGGCGGACTAGAGCTAGGAGTCTGGGGCCACACTCTCCTCTCCATGCCATTGTCGGGGGTGTTTCCAGGGGCCCCACCCTCAGGTTCCAGAGTTAGACAGTATGTGGGAAGTGGGAGCTCCTCTGGTGGTGACAGAAAACCAGGAGCCGGGTGGAGGAAGAACATGATGCTCCATTTTTCCTAACCATGAAGAGGCTAGTCCAACACAGCATGAGCTCAGGTTTCCATAAGGCAGAGGATCCACACTGGACCTCTCCTTGGGATTCACTTTGCAAAGGCCTCGGTGACTTTGCACGTTTCCCAGGAGGAAGGGCCTGAACTACTTGCCTTGGTGTCCCACAGTTGAGCAGTACTAGGCAATTGTAAGGGGCCTATAGCAGATCGTTCTAATGTCCCCAGTAGGCCACTGTAATATTGCTAACAATGACTCATATGTGTACAAAAGTGTGCACAGACATCAATTTTGCCCCCATATGTTTTCTTTTGCACACATTATTTTCATAATGTATACACAGCCTCCTTGCACACGCACTGGCCCATGCACATCAATCCCTTGCAATAACACCCTCAAAATCATGTTCAGGCACCAGGCAGACAGATGGACAGGCATACACTTTCAAAATCACACTTAGAAATAATCAAGCGTATGGATATACATACAGTCTTAAAACTACACATGTAAGAAACACAAAACAGACCGACGGACATGCAGAGACCTTCAGAAGTGCACACACGCACGTAGTCACACGCACACAAGAATACATACAGTGATACAGCATGCAGACAGACCAAGGAACACATCTGCAAATAAGCATACAGAAGCTTCTATGCCGCATCGCACACGGTCTCATATTCGGACACACGCAGACACGCACACTTCTGCCTCGCGCCTGCCCCTTCTGCAGGGACCCCGCCCCAGGCAGGACTCCGCCCCAGGCAACCGGGACAGGAGTTGCCTGCCCCAGCACCCTGTAGACCTACCTCCCTGGGGACACTTACCGGCTTACCCGGATGAGAGGGCTGGCTACCGGGGTGCGACCCCGCCCCCACTCAGGCGGAACCAGTAACTAAAAAGCGCCGCGGCCTTGGAGGTATCTCCTCCACCCTGCTGGCTATAGAATCTCTAGGGGAGGAGCACAGTGGCAGCTGCGCCTGCGCAGTCAGCAGCGGAGGCCCCGCCCTTTACCCAGAATAAGAGGAGTTAGGGGCGGGGCCTAAGCGCGGAGTCCCGCTCTGTGCAGATTTTTTAACTTGTTTTCCGTCTGGCAGCTGGCGGAGAGCCACCTGGATTCTTTCCACCAGGACATCTTTTCTTTGGCTGAATTTTCTGTCTCTACCCCGAATAGGGTTGTCATCTGACTTAAGGAAGGGTCAAGCCTCAGAACAGGGCTAGCACTGAGGCGTCCTGTGTAGATGCTAGATACTGTCATTACGTGGTAGCTCCAAGTCCCCGCCCAACCACTCCCCGACCCCTGTGGCTTGCGCGAGAATACACACACAATGGCGGTGAGCTGGGTAGCTCCTTGTCTGCCATGGAGACGTGCGACAGTATCTGGCCTGTCCCAGGCTCAGGGCTCCCCGTGGCGCCCAGGCCCGGCCCCGGAATGCTCTTCGGAATGCTGGTTTACTCCTCATCCGCACCCCGCGGAGGCTGGCAGCCTCCCGCCCATTCTCCAGGCGAAGAAACAGGCTCCGGGGCGCTGGGACAGCGCTCTAGGCTACTTGCCGGACTCTGGCGGAGCGGTGCACTCCAATTTGTCACCCCTCTGCCAGGCGCCACGCAACATGGCCAGGCCTGCGGAGATGAGGATAGGGTAACGAAAGGGAGCAGCAGGGCTACGATTCCCAAGGAACCCTCCTCAGCAGGGGCGCCAAAACCTTAGGGAGCAGGTCACCGAGGGGTCTGAAACCGCGCCCAGTAGGGCGAATGGGGCTCGCAGGGCCAAAGATTTGGGGACACTGAGGCCCTGTGGCTGAGAAAGGAGAGGGTTTAGCGGCACGGACGACCCAGAGGCAGCTGTGGCCAAAAGAGGGCGCCCGGTAGTATGACCCGGCCCACGCTCCGCCCCCAGCCTCTTCCGGGTTTCCCTACTCATCCCTACCCACATTTGCCCGCTCCTGTCTGCTGGAGACTCCGCAGCTCCCCAGGTACCCAGGTACCCACCCTGCACTCCCGCCCTTCTCTTCCTCTCTCCACTCAGGACCTACCCCAGTACCCCAAATCTTACCATTTAGACTCCCCAGGTCCCCTTCCCTCTGGGCTGTCCCCTCTTCCTGTTCACCCTCTAGATCCAAAGAGCCAAAATTATGATCCCCGTTGTGGCCGAGCGAGCGGTGGAGGCGCCCGCTACTGCGCCCCTAACGTTGGACGGTTGGACCCCAGCTGGTCGAACGCTGAGCACTCCGCCTTCCTTGTTGGAAGGAACTTCAAAGTCTGCCTGCTGACAGGACATTTGGGTTTCTGCCTCTGGAAAATGGGTTTTTACCCCAAAGGTGGTTTCCCTCCACCTTGTACCATTGGCATTGGGCTGAAGGAGGTCGATAAGCCAAACAATGAGGTATTTGCTGTTGATTGAGCAGTTACTAAGCACTAGGCATGGTGCCAAGTTTTTACCTTTAGGGCCCCATGTAATCCTGTCAACTGCCTATGAGCTAGTACTATTGGATTACCCCATCTGTAGAAAAGGATAATAGGGATAATAATTGTAATGGGAGCCCCATGTATTTTCTTAACTACCTGCAGGTACTCTCAGTGTTATTATTTTTTCTTGAACTCTTAAATTCATTCCTGGGGTAGGCTTTACTTCCCCATGTTCTAGATGAAGAGTCTGAAGCACAAGGTCACCCAACTGAGTGGCAGGGGTAGAAATAACACCTATGGGCCTGGGATTTAGCTCAGCAGTTCGGTGGCCTGCTTTGCAAGCGCAAGGACCCGAGTTTGATCCCTGGTACCAAAAAAGAAAAAAAAAGAAACAACACCTGTCTTCCAGATGCTAAAGCATGTTCTAGGGTCCTGGAAGTGCACCCTCCCTCCTCCAGCCTACTTGCTGCTCTCTGCAGGACACCTGCTCCCTGGGCAGTTGTTCTGTGGCCTCTCATCTGCTTGGCTTTGAACTGCAGGCACTTTACCACACAGCGGCAAAAGAATGGCAAATGTGGAGCAGAACGAGGGCACCATCCAGATGCAGGGCCAGGACCTGTTCTTTCGAGAGGCACGGCCTGGCAGTGGGCAGACTGCTCGCTTCTCTGTTCTGCTGTTGCATGGCATTCGCTTCTCTTCTGAGACCTGGCAGAACCTGGGTACCCTGCACAGGCTGGCCCAGGCTGGCTATCGGGCTGTGGCCATTGACCTGCCAGGTACTTCTGGGGCAAGCTTTTGGGACGAGGTTAGTGAGGCCTCAGGGACTCAGCCCGAGGCTGGAGAATTGGGAGGACCTAGCCAGTCTGGGCCCTAAGCTTGACAAGAGTTCAGTGCATACTGCAGGGCTCCTTTGAGCTTCTCCAGTCTTGATCTAGATGTGGTCTAGACACTGCTCAGCAACTCATGTTACCTGGGGAAGGGTCTCACCCTTATGTTTGAGGTTGGTCCTAGTAAGCATGGACTGAGATTACCCATGCAGATCTGCAGCTAGAATCTGACATGGAGTAATGGGTGCTGAGCAGCTTTGGAGAAAAGCATTTTAACAGAACCATATCCATAGGCTGTTGGGAGCCTGGAGGAGTGAGTCTTGTATCTCCTAGTGTCCTGAGGGCCATGGCAGGGCCTGGTCGGGGAGTAGCCCTTGATAATCATCCCACTGAAAAGCCCTGAGTTGAGCTCTGGAAGAGGGGGGGATAGCTCCCAGACCTCACGTCATATCCTGGACTGCCAGGCCCCCACCCTTGGTATGTAGTATGGAAGGGAGACATGACCATCTAATCATCTCACGAGCCTAGGCTGGTATGGTTTCCGAGGTCAAGGGTAGGCCTCCAGCCTGGGCAGGACTGGTTCCAGCAGTGGGCTGGGCTGAATTTCAGTGCAAAGGTCTGGAGCTAATGCTGTTGTCAAAGGTAGCAACTGACCAGAAGGGGAGGGATGAGCATGGAAGAAGCCCCTTGGCCATTGTCCTCCAAGACCCCTCCTCGTGCCAGTGGGCAGGTGCCTTTTTAACCACCAGTTAGCTTAATTTTTACAACTCACAGATGTATGGGTACTTTCATTATCCTCTTGTAACAGAAGGGGAAACTGAACAGTTAAGAGGGCTGAGAGGACTTAGCCAAAGTCACACAGTGAATAAATAAATGGAGAATAAGGACTTGGCCCAACTCAGAGCCTGATGCTTTATGATAGTTAATTCTGGGGAAGATGGGTACAAACATGGTTGGGAAATGTCTTGTGTTTGCCATAGAGATAAATCAGGCTGCTGTAGGTATAAATATGGCCTGGAGGGAGTTATAGAAACCTTGACCTAGGAGGGCTTTCTAAAGAAAGAGGCCTGGTTTTCCTACTCACTGCCCTTGTCTTCTCTCCCACACTTGAATTCCTGCAGGTCTGGGGCGTTCTAAGGAAGTGCCAGCCCCTGCCCCCATTGGGGAGCTGGTCTCTGGCAGTTTCCTGGCAGCTGTGGTGGAGGCCTTGCAGCTGGGTCCTCCAGTTGTGATCAGTCCATCACTCAGTGGCATGTACTCCCTGCCCTTCCTCACGGCCCCTGGTTCCCAGCTCCAGGGCTATGTGCCTGTGGCCCCCATCTGCACTGACAAAATCAATGCTGCCAACTATGCTGGTGTGAAGGTATCACTCCTGGGAAGCCAAGTGCCAAATGTAGGAGCCACGGAGAGTCCATCCCTGAGCCTTCATCTAGAGCTAGGCCACCAAGGTCACTTCTGGGAGGAGCTGACCACTAGCTTCCACCTGATGGTCTGTTTAGCAGATCACTGTGCCACACCCTGTGTTAAACTTTTTGTTGGGCAGATACAAATCCATGCCCCTCCACCTCCCACACTGGGCCAGCTGGTCTCTCTTCCTCAGAGTGGCTCCAGACAAAGACTGAAAGTAGTGGGAAGGGCAGGAGCTAACTTTCCAGAGGCTGGGGTTGGTATGGCTGGGCCCTGTTAACTCTGCCCCCCTCCTTCCTTTCTCTCAGACTCCGGCCCTGATTGTATATGGCGACCAGGACCCCATGGGTCACACCAGCTTTGAGCACCTGAAGCAGCTGCCCAACCACCGGGTGCTCATCATGAAGGGGACAGGGCACTCCTGCTACTTGGACAAACCTGAGGAGTGGCACACAGGGCTGTTGGACTTCCTGCAGGGGCTGGCATGAGCCCAGCCCTGTGGATAGAGGGGGTGACTACCCACCTGCCTTAGGATCTCTCTCCCTGCTCAGTGGGCTCTGGCTTACCATGTACATCTAACAGGTGTGTCTGTCTGTGTGTGTGTCTGGGTTCCTGTCTTTTGGGTCTGTCTTTTCTGTTTCTTTCACTGCAGTGATGAGGTAAAACCAAGAGGAAAAATTCAGAAATCAATGGATGTAATTTGGCAGAGGATAATCCAGGAGCTTCTCTTACTGGCTCTCTCCTTCCTCTCCTCTGCCTTGCAGGCCAGTCATCCCACCTCAGCTCCCCTACCCCACTGAGACCATAAATAAATACATGTCCACATGCATACTTACACATAAGAGCGATCTATGATCCCAGGTAGGTCCCTTCACTTGGGAGCAACTGACGGGATACTTGTGACCGACTGCACCTTCCCAGATGCATTGGGTGCACACACACAGGTCTTGCACAGGTACAAGTGGACTTGCAGCTCCTCAGCCTAGGAAGGTGGGGAATCTTACCAACCAACCTTGTGCCAGGCTTAGGGTATGGCCAGCCCTAGACTCCACCCATTCACCCACTGTTACTACAGATTGCAGTCCAGAACTGTCCCCTTCCCACCCCCTGCTGCTAGCTCTCCCTGCTTTTTCCTCTGGTTCTGAGGCCTCCAACCTTCACCCCCACCCCTTATCGGCTTGAGTCTTCGGTCAAGGTTTAAGGAGTGTAAGAAAGAGCTACCACCAAGGCAGGATCAATCTCACAAGGTAATCCAGCAGCTGACGATAACTCATACACATTCATTGCAACCTGAAAAAATACAATTACAGAGTATAAAATATTCTAACAAATTTCTGAGAAAGTTTACTTTATAAGAAAATATTTAGAGATGGTCCCCCTGCCCTTTGTCCACCAGGCCAGATGGAGGGAAAGGCAGATTGGATTCCCCTCCCCACCCACACACACCCAGGTGCCAAGAGACGGCTGTGCGGGGGGGGGGGAAGGTCAGTGGGACTAGTCTGAGCCGATTACCGAGAAGGGGAGGAATACTGTATTTCTCCCAGGGTGGGTAGAGGTTAGGAACATGCGAACAGTCTCCCCATCCGACCCGGGACCAAGACGAAACTCTGAGGAGCTTTGGGAGCACGGCGGGGCGGGGGTGCACGAGGGCCACACGCCTCTCAGGCCCCTCCTCCATGGAGCTGCTCGGGTAACCTGTGCCGCGCTCCGGTCGGGGGGTGCGGTACGGAAGCCGCGGGCGGCTGCTGGGAGCGGGTATCGGAGGGCG